AAAAGGACAATACCGACAAAAACAAGACAGACTGAAGTGATCATTTTTGGCTGTTATCGGTCAATCCTACCCAATGCCAGATTGTGTAATCCCAGAGGCTCTACCTTTCAACTTGCCGGTTCGAAGTTCTACGCTCAAACTCACTGTTACCAGCTTATCACGGTGGTTTAAATTGATAGGCGAGACCCTAACTGCTGCGATCTTAAGTTCTGGTTGCGTGTGGGAAGAGAATTGGGGCTTCAGATGAGATGGATAGTATATTCTGTAGTGGAGAATAGGTAGGAGCAAGTTAACATTCAGGCGAGCGTGCAGTTTACGAAGTGTGGGAGCGTGGCAACCGTCACACTGAGTTTCTGTGTGAATCAGCCTTGAAGGTGGTTAACCAGACTGACTGCAATGAATTTACTCAGAGTGCCAGTCTCGTGGTCTTTGCCTTGCTCGAATTACTTTCAGGGATGCAATGCTTCAGTCTTCATTTTCATCCAACTAGTGAATTTCCCATCCGCAAATCTTCTGTATAATATTCTTATGTTCAATTTTGATAAAATAATTTCTTGTAGGTGACTCATAACAATTTCGGTGAGATTGCCAATACAGGCGAACATGCGTGTCCCAGGAAGCAATTGAGAAGAAGAAGACTCGATCGCTGGGACAATTCGTTTACTCACCTGACGTTTCGACATCCGTCGCGGATTCATCATCAGAGACATGAGTAGGAGAAACAGGGAAGCATGCACTTGCGGATTCATCATCAGAGACATGAGTAGCAGAAACAGGTAAAGCATGCACAGTAGTATTTATAGGATACAGTCATTACTGCAAACATTATGCACAGAAGTTTGCAGTATTTATAGGACACAGTCATTACTGCAAGCATACCACAATTAACGTTAATAGCCTTCTTGTGCGTGGATTGCTTGTTGGACGGCACGCGGGCTTTGACCTGTTGTCAATTCTCAAGTTGCGGCTCATTCGACGAGACCCGACCGCACGTTCAAATTTGATGAGGCCGAAATTCGCCCAAGAGGTGACAATCGGGTGGGCCGAGAACAACTTGAGTCATGGTTCACGGGCCCCCAATCAATAAACAAGTGCAACGATTTACCCAATCCATATTCAATGCTGAGATTCAATTTGGCCAAAGCAAGTCTTCATTTGACGAACGGGCAGG